CAAAGGGTGGGCATGCTTATTCATGATTTGTTTCAGTTAGAAATGTGACCAGATGTGTTATGGCAGAAGGGTTGGGAATAAGGTTGCTTATTTGATGGCTGGCATTAATAAAAGTGTGTGCTGTACTTGAGAGGGTGTCCCTCCTTCATGGTTGTTGGGCTCTTTGAGGAGTGAGGGTGGTGTTGTGCATTGTGTTTCGACTATCTATAATATCTTCGATGTCGTTCTAGCCAAATACATATATATTTTATTTATTGTTCGATTTTTTTTCAATTTGTAAATGATAATAAAACAAAAAGAATGATGTTGATGATTATGGTGACTTTTGTGTGGTAGATTAGGGTTCTAGAGTTAGGAGGAAGATGAAGAGAAAATCATTAAAATTTGAGAAAAAAGATGAAGATAGTTGAATATGAAAATTACCTACAAGTGATTTGGGTGTACAATAAGAAAAAAAAAAAAAGTTTTATTTTAAAATTTAATGTGTATTGTCCTTCTTAGTAAATTCACATTAAGGTATAATAGAAACTCAAATTTCAAAATTTTAGTTGAATATACTAAATTATTATTTGGGTGCAAATAGAATCACCCCTATTATGCTTATGCAACCCACAAAATATATATATTAATTAAAATAATTCAATTGTTCTATTGAAATGACAAAACTCTTTGGTTTTGAATTTTTTTTTAAAAAAATTAATTTTAATTTTGTGTGTGTGTGTTTGTTATATTTAGTGAATTTGTTTTATATTTTTGTTAATTTTTTTAAATGTACATAATTTAAATGTGATTAAAAAGTATAAAAAAATGTGAAGGTATTTATAAATAAAACAAACTTAATAAATAAAAAATATGTGCTATTTATAAATAAATAAAAAAATTAATAAAAAATATATATATGAAAATGTATTTTATTTAATTATTTATTTATTGTACTTTTTAAAGATTTTGTCAAGTTAATCATCTTAATTTGAGAGAGCGCCGGAGTTTAATAGACTCATTTTGAAGCTTGACCTCGATAATTCGAATTGTTCACTTTTTAATATTCGTTGAGAAAAATATCTATATAAAAATTAAGATAATTAAAAATTGAAAACTATATATTTAAATCACATTTATATTTAAAAACTTAAAAAAATTATATTTGAAATTATAAACGTCGTTCATTTTTTTAAAATAAATTTGGTTAAAACATATATTAAAAAATGAATGGTTCGAATAACTAAGATCAGATCCAAAATAAATCCATCAAACCCAAATGATTTATCAAGTTGGATAGCCTATACTCCATGTCATAAGCAATTATGTTATATTTTAAGAATTTCATGTTATCAGTGTGTCCAATTAATAACGAAGGACCTAATAATTACATGACTTAAAACATAAATGAAATAATGGGCAAAATGGCAATACATTATTGGATCAGCATACATTGACATAGGCTTCATTCGATCTAGTTTTTGAAATGAGTTTTAAGTTATATCTTAAAGGATAAATTATAAAGACATTTTTTGAAATTTGTTTAAAATACGAATTGCCTCCCATAGCTTGAAAAATTACAAATACCTCTCTATCAAAATTTTTTATTTAACAGAATTAATTGAAAAAGTGAAATTTCTAACTGCTCATCTATACAATAATAAAATTATATGAATTATTAATTGAAATAAAATTTTAACATTATTAAAAAAATGTTAATTAACTTGATGATTTATTAATAAATGACCTATTTGTTATGAAATTAAAAACTTCAGGGATGTGTAATTCACCCTCTTTTAAAAGTTAAAAATTTGTTTGGTTATGAGTTTTGAAAATATTTTTTTTGTGATTTGTAGTTTTTTTTAAAAAAAATTATTTTTAGTTAAATAGATGGTATGTGAGAGAAAATTTAATTGATTGATGTGTAGAATGTGAGAGAACGAAAGATAAGAGAAGAAAGAAAAAAAAATTGATTTATTAATAATAAAAAAAAAGGAGAGAGAAAAGAGAAAATTAAGTTTTGAATTGTATTTTAAAAACTAATTAACTATGTAAGGAATGTTTAGTATAACTTATATAAGTGTATTTATTTAGATAAATATACTTATTTGAATTATATTACCTTTTTATCCTTTTATATATTTTTTATAAAAAAATAAAAAATACACTTATTTAAATAATTTTAAACCAATTCTAAATTTTTTAATTTCTCCATTCCAATCATATTTTAAAAATCAATCCCAACACTATCATTGTCCCGTCAAGGGTTCGGGCAACGCAAACATTAACATCATATTGACGTGTCCGATCCCCTGACACAAGACATCCCACCACTGTAAAGTGAATGAGGATCCTCTCCCCTTAGCCTCCGTTCTTGCGCCGGTCCTTACAGGCCTTCGGGTCTACTTTTAGGCCCAATTTTGATAATCTGAACCGTTAATATTTTATGATTTATTCAGTATATCATACCTGTAAAAAATCAAGTTGATCGGATATCAGAAAGTATGCGTTCGAAAAATTGAACTAAAAATTATTTTTTAAATAATTTAATAAACAGTTTTCTGAACACATGTTTTCTAATATCCAATCAACTTGATTTTTTACAAGTATGATATACTGAATAAATCATAAAATATGAACGATTTAAATTATCAAAATTGAGCCTAAAAATAAACCCGAACACCTGTAAGGACGGACACAAGAACGAGACTGGAAGGAGAGACTCTTGACTCCTGTAAAGTACCAACAATTAGATTGTGTTGTAGCCAATATCTCTCTCTCTCCCTCCAACTCCTCTTCTCTTTCGTTTTCCCTCATTCAAATCAAATCCTCCTTTTTCCATTCTCAGATCTCATCCAAATCCCCCTCCAATGGCGACCCCAACCCCACGCGAAGACAACGTCTACATGGCCAAACTTGCCGAGCAAGCCGAGGGCTACGAAGAGATGGTCGAATTCACGGAGAAAGTCTCCGCCGCCGTCTGCGATTCCGAGGACCGTCGAGGAGCGCAACCTCCTCTCCGTCGCCTACAAGAACGTCATCGGAGCCCCCCGCGCCTCGTAGCGGATCATATCTCCGATCGAGCAGAAGGAGGAGTCTCGCAGCAATGCCGACCATGTCGCAACGATCAAGGAGTATCGAACCAAGATCGAGTCCGAGCTTTCATCGATCTGCGACGGTATTCTGAAATTGCTTGACTTGATGTTGATTCCTTCGGCTACCTCTGGAGATTCGAAGGTGTTTTATTTGAGGATGAAGGGGTATTATCATAGGTATTTGGCGGAGTTTAAAACTGGTGCTGAGAGAAAGGAGGCCGCTGAAAACACTCTCAATGCCTACAAGGCACCGCAGGTTTGTGATTTGATTGCATTTTGATCTGTTGTTTGCATGATTTTTGTTGTGATTGCGAGAAATTAGGGTTGTTTTATTGTTATTGTACTTCAATTTGATTTTTTTAGGTTTTCTTCAAGCTGAATTTTTGCTATGATTAGGACAGATTAGGGTTTTATTGATTTATGTTTCTGTTAAATGTTAATTAATTTGGGGTTTGGTGGGAGTCATTTTGTTTTTATGGCCTTTTATTTTATATTGCAAGTTTTATGAAAGTAGTGTGTGTTAGTTTCTGCTTTGATGAAGAAATACTATGCATTGTTGGATGTTTGGTGTTGGAATTTGGATTGTGTTGTTAGATTTTGGTTTGCATTCAATTCATGGCTTATTTTGGTATGATTGGAATATTTTTGTTTGCTTTATGTAACTGTCTCCCTTTGTGTCAATATTGCAATATTGATCTTGTAATAATTGTTAGGTCAGCGTGAGTTGTGAGATGTTTTGAAATAAATCTAGTCCCGTGTCAGTGATGCCATGCTGGTGTACGTCTGACTGTCAAATTCATCTCATTGTCAAATGGCAGGACATGGGTTTTGATTTGATTGTTCACATATTAGGAATTGAAAAGAGTTTGTAGGAAAAATTATACGGTGGTCTTGTGGTGCCTTGACTTGATTTTTGTTGGCTAAAATAGAAGGACTCATGACTTTTGTGTGTGTGTGTTTTTTATATATACAAGATGACAAGTGTTATGTGAAGGATGGTGTAGAACATTGCTCCAAGACCACCAAATAACCTCGATGCTTTGAAATAAATCTCGTCTCATGTCAGATTGTCATGTATGTCTGAATGTCGAATTCATCTTAAAATGATAGGCACAGGATTTGATTTGATCTTTGACGTGTAAATACGAAGAGTGTTTATATATTAGGCATTGAAAGGTATCCAAGTGAACTAGGAACCTGATCTCCCCTTTTGTTTGACAATCAAGGACCAAGCATGACATAGTTACACTACACAACACCTTTTAAGTGTCTATATAGCACAAATCATTTTGATTGCTGGTGCTACTGACCTGCTCAATTGAAAATTTAATTTGAATATGAACATTAGGGTAACCAAATCATATCAAACGAAGTCTTAGACCTATTTAGGTGGGGTTAGTTATATGGATCTTTTTCCACTATAGAAATTAAATAAATTCATATTTTGTTAGAAACATTAGGATAAGAATTATATATATAAAAAAAATAAAAATAAAAAACTAAATCTTATCCACTACTAACCACTAAAGGCATGCTTAGGATCCAAAAAATGCCCTCTTACTTAGCAAGCATCGAAGAAAGTGCCTTATTCTATGCCAAGCTACGTTACACGGACTCGGGTGTGGGTATCGGGTGCGGGTGTGTATGTAGAGGTCGGACATTTCAAAATTAAAAATTGAGGATACGCGGATATGGATCCAAATTTGGATACGGGTATGGGAATACATTAAATAGTTATTTTTTAAAAATATATTTATTATATGAAGATGAGTTAAAAAAAAAAGGAATAACAAATTTGTTAAAAAAAATAACAAATAAAATATAAATAACAAATAAAAATTATTTTAGGCATAAAATAAATTATATTATTTATGGTATATTATATTATACAATATTTTTTTGAGTGAATAATATTATATAATAAGAATACTATTATATATTATTATATTAATATCATTTATAAATAGAATGCAGAGAAGGAGAACAGAGAGGAAGAGAAGACGAAGTCAAAGAAGAAGAGAGAGAGAGAGAGAGACACACACACACACAAGATATTTCATATTCAAAATACGTGATTATCAAACTACGTGATTAACTTTTTACCTATTAAACTACGTGATTATCATTCAAAATAACAATTTTATTAATTTAAGTCTAAATATTTCATATTCACAAGATATATATAACATCTAAATGTCTAAATATATGTTTTTAAGTAATTTAAAAAAAAAAATGACTGAATCTTTATGACAGTGTTTTAAAAGGCTCTAGGTGCACCGAGGCGATAAGGTGTCCTGGAGCCTAAGCGCGAGGCGCGAGGCGAGGCGCGCGCCTCACCAAAGCGAGGCGCACATAATAAAAGCAATGCAAAATTATAAAATAAGCAAAATTTTTAACATAACAAATATATGTAGTATATTAAAAAGTATAAATATCCAACAAAAGGCATAAAGTATGACATTTACAATCACATCCACCAAAAACCTTATGTACTAAAATCATCATCCACATAATTCAATGCAACTAAGCTTCTAACTTGTGATTCAAAAAGGAAATGAAAATATATAAGCCCTAAAGTTGCATAATTGTACTCAAAACTTAATAGACATCATCATCAACATGAAGAACTTCATCTCCTCCATCATCATCATCATTGGATTTGTATCCATCCACATCCTCCTCTTCAACCTCATCATCAACTTCCCATTCATCTTCTTCATCTACAAGTTGTTGGTGTGTTGTCCTAGTTGTGCTTGATCTAGTTCTTTGGTTACTCTCCTCAACTCCAGCAGCTACAGCAACATCATCCCACCCCAAAGAATCATCAGCAAACACAAGCTCATTCTCCATCCTCCCAATCAACCATTCATTGCTCTCATCAATATCTTTCAAAGAGATGGGATCAATATTGGCACGTTTCATATATCGACGCTTCAATGCTCTATTATACTTCACAAACACCAAATCATTGAGACGTTTTTGAGCAAGCCTATTTCTTTTTTTGCTGTGAAGCTGCAACAATAAATAAAAAAGCATTTAAATTTGTATATAACTGAATTTGTTTTTGGAATTCACTACTAGATTTGACAACGGGTACTCACATGTTCAAACACACTCCAATTTCTCTCACAGCCAGATGAACTACAAGTAAGACTAAGTACTTTGATGGCAAATTTTTGCAAATCAGGAGTTTCATGACCAAAAGAACTCCACCAATCAGCTCATCATGATAATTAGTTAGCACTTAGCAAACATTTTGAAGTAAAAGGTATTGACTACTAGAATAGAAGTAAATGATTACCTGGTACCCTTGTACTTCTTTGTCTAATTGCCATAGGAATCTGAAAAAGTCCTTCAGCCTTCTCATACTTAGCTAATTCTGCACAAACTTTATCTTGGATCTCTAGTGTTGGGATCAACCTTGATATACATTGATATAGGCCTGTCATGATTTCTTTGTCCTTTGCAGCATTTGGATCTTTGTAAAACAAACTAGGATTTAAATAAAACCCAGCAGCATGCAAAGGGCGATGCAATTGAATGTCCCACCTTTGATCAATGATTTCAAAGATCTCTTTATACTTCTCTTCCTTTCCATCGAATGCATTTGCAATAGCTTCTTTAGCCCTATCCATAGCCTCGTAAATATATCCCATTGGAGGCTTTTCTTCACCATCAACCATTCTTAGTACATGAACAAGAGGACATGAAAACTGCAGGGCAAGGTGAACATGATCCCAAAATGAAGGCATTAGCATTATTTGAGCTGTCTTCTTACCCTGCGGCTCCTTCGCCCATTTGCTTTTGGTCCACTCTTCCGAAGTAAACATCTTCCTCAAGTTGTTCCTTTGTTGATAAAGTCTTTGCAAAGTTAAGAAAGCTGTTGCAAATCGGGTTTTAGCAGGCTTCACTAACTCCTTCAATTGAGTGAAACTCCTCATCATATTCAACAAAGATGGACGATTATAAATATAACCGTGTACCCCAATTTCCCTTTCAAATGTCTTCTTAAAATTGGGTAATTTGAAAATGTCTTCCACATCAAAATTCCATGGCAATGGGCCTTGCACAAGGGGTGTCCAATATCAAGTGGGGTTCCTTTTGCCTCCAAAAATACTTCCCTGATAGATTACAAGTTTGCAAGTTCAAAACATACTTACTTTAAACAAATAGATTATATAACCAAAACAAAAGCACACTATTTGCAATAGAGCTTAGAGATTTACCTCCAAATCATTTTGCTGCAACGACTGTCCAGTGACAATTTGGACCACATTAGCTTCTCAATCTTTAGTCAACATACTTGTCAGCAACGCTAAAAATCTTGTTTGCAATCTTTGAAGTAACTAGATTGCATCAATAGACTCAAGAAACATTAGGTTCCCTCTAGGACTAATTCACAAAGAAATTAGATCAAAGTTTCTATGCTTCCTATCCGATCCCACCATCACACATTATAGAACATCCATACTTTGGCGCCAATCCTTTTGTGCTCCTTCATCAACTTATGGACATGATTCACTTCTTTCTTGAGATAAGGAATCCGAATCATGTGGGTAAATTGGTGGTTTCAAACGCTGGGCCAAATTGTCCTATGGCTTCAATCATTGGTTGCAAAACTTTCATTTATTGACTACAATTAAACGGAAATTCCAAGTATCATATAATCCACTGCTTGCAATTCTGACATAGGCCCTCTCCATTAACTCTTTTCTATAAGGATCATTTTTATCAATCTTTAATTTGCTTTCCCTTGCTCTTATGTTTTTTTGCACACTAACTCTGGCTCAGGTGCTGAAGAAACACATCCATGGGCCCTATCTTTCTTCCTAGGATTTTTACGGGTTTCCTCATCGAATTAGAAGTAGAGGTAGTTTTTCGAGTAGAACTTGATATGGACACGGCTGTTTACCATGTGGAGAGATTTTTACAACATCATCCTCATCCTCAAAATCTTCTTCGTTGACCATTTCATCAAGTCAGGCAATCAAGTTCAATTGATCCTTCAGTTGCTTTTTTTTTGGCCATATAATCTGGCCACCTATATTACTAACCTCAGTTGGGCATCTAGGACATTTAAGTACATTCCTATACCCTCCAACAAGATGTTGCTTAACTCGGAAAACACCCCCATTCATCTCTTTTCCACAAAAATTACACTTGAACTTGCTTAGATTTACAGGATTTACCATTGTTGAATACTTCCATGCCGGATCTTTTTTTCCACTCTCGGGTGTTGTCATTTTATGTATGTACCTATTGAGATTATAAACACTGATTCAGTGTTCATTTTATTATTATTGTTTTGACAGGGAAAAGAAACAGAGCAGAACAGAGGTGGAAAAAAAAAAAAACAGAGCAAGAGAAGAAGAACAAATTAGAGCAGAGCAGAGAAGTGGAGAAGAAGACGAGAAGAAGATGAGAAGGAAAGAAGACCAACACAGTAAAGCAAAAAAAAAAAAAAAAAAGAGAGTAGAACAGAGGCACAGAGAAAAGAACCAGAGAAGAGAAGAACAGAAACAGAACAGTCAAAGCAGAAGAAGAGGAAAAAAAAAGGTTCAAGAAACAGAGAAAAACTTCAAAATGGTCCAAAACTAAGATATTTATTTCCAAAAAATGCAGAACTTAGATAGCCATAACTTGCTGAACATTCTTAGTTTATCTTTATGTTATTCGTCCAATTAAAGATCTTGTATCAATGTTCAAAATTTCAAATCTTGTCTGTAATTCAGTGTAATTCAGTGTTCAAATCGTGTATCAATGAGGCTTATCTGTTGACTTTCTTCAATCCTGGATTTTTGTTATGTCAGTGTTATCCAGTTTTTGTTTTTGTTTTTGTCTGTAATTCATTGTAATTCAGTGTTCAAATCTTGTATCAGTGAGGTTTAATTGGGAAGCTTTTGTTTTTGTTAAACAACAGTGATGCTTAAATTTATGAATTTGAAGTTCTCTTTCAAAAAAAAAAATCTTGTCTGTAATTTGTTCAACATTACAAATAACAAGAACAAATATCAATGTATGCTTCACTTTTGTATGAAATTGGAAGTCTATGAAATGCACTAATCAGCCTGTTCTATCAACTTACACAAATTCTTGACCATAACATCATATTTTGGGAAAGGGAAAAAAAAAGAAAGAAAAAGAACAGTTAGTATAACAAAATTCTTAAATAAAATATAAAATAAAATAAAAAAACACAACACAATGAATCCCGAACCAGAACAGTCAAAGAAGAATAAAACCAGAAGAAAAGAAAAAAAAAAAATAGGGTATAACAGAGGCAGAGAATAAGAGAAGAGAAGAAGAGGAGAAGAATCGAAAAAAAAAAAAAAAAAACAGGGTATAACAGAGGCAGAGCAGAGGAGAAGAGAAGAGAAGAAGAGGAGAACCAGAGGAGGAGGAGGAGTAGAATCGAACCAGAGAAGAGAAGAAAAAAAAAAAAAAAACAAACAAACAAACAGGGTATAACCAGAAGAGAGAGAACCAGAGAAGAGAGAGAAGAGAAGAAGAGGAGAAGAGAGAGAGGAGAAGAGAACCAGAGAAGAGAGAAGAGGAGAAGAGAGAGAGGAGAAGAGAACCTGTGTATTTGGTGTGTGTTATACTCTTCACGTCGCTTCTTCTTCTTCTTCTCCACTAGGGCATTTTTAAATGTTTTTGCTCTGTTGTTGACTCACGTTTCTATCATTTTATAATGAAACTGAGATGTCATCCCATGTGTTATCCACACAGTAAACAGATGGGGGGCTGTTGGAGTGAAATACACTTGAAGCTCATGAAGCGCACGCCTCAAGCTTTATTATAAAGCGCGCGCTTCGTCGCCTTACCTGCGCCTTTCCCAGGTCACCTCGCCTCGCCATGTTTGAGGCGCACTGCTGCGCTTCATGTCGCCTTGGGCTTAGATGCGCGCCTAAGCGCGCTTTTTAAAACACTGCTTTATGATTCACGATTCGATTCGATTCGATTTGCTTCGTGATTTGGTACGAGACCATTTCGATTCCCGATACGAATCCCGATTTGACAATTATGCTTGCAAGTGTATATTTAATATACATTTTTATGTCACGTGCACTTTACTTCTTTCATGCTCACATTTTATGTTGTGCCTTTCGCTTAGGCTTTGGGAGATTTTTCAACCTTAGTGCGCCGTGAGCCTTTAACAACTATGCCCTTACCCCACCCTTCCCCTTTAAATGCCAACGTATTGGCACATGGCGTCTGTGGAGTTTAAGAACTAAACATTTCTTTGATCTATGGGAAAACTTTTGTCTTTTATTATATATGCAGTTTTGCAGATTTTTCTTTTTATATTGCAAATGTTGTGCTCTCTCTAATGGTAAAACTTAGATTAGGTTTTAGGGTTGTTTTATATAACTTTCTTTGTTTTGATAATTGTGATTCATTCTTGTTATTTATTGTTTCCATCTTGATTTCAATGTTCTCTTTGCAGGAAATAGCAAATACAGAGTTGGCTCCAACACATCCAATTCGGCTTGGATTGGCTCTTAACTTCTCTGTATTTTACTATGAAATTTTGAATTCTCCTGATCGAGCATGCAGCCTTGCAAAACAGGTGAAGGAACATATCTTGGTCTCTATAGATAAAAAGAGGATATTAGTGACTGAAATTTTTTGTTAATCAAGGTTCAATGTTAATTTGGGGAAGGACATGACGAGTTCACTTTTCTTTTGCACATTCTTTGACCTGAATTTTATAGAGACCCTTTTTGTATAATTCAAATGCTTACTAAATACGGGGACAACATGTGGGTCCTCTGCTTAAAAGTAGCCATATTTGTACTTTATAATCCATACTTCATTCTAGTTAACTAGATTCATTTCATGAATGTGGGCCTAGGGTATAACTAAAATTGTTGTGTGACTTGTGTCTAGGGCTCTTAAGAACCAAAAGTTTTCTTTTTCATGAACCAAACTAGTGAGCAAATGAGAAACTGCCCCAAAAAAGAGTAATTAGACGAATGCTCCTTACAAGCATAATTATGGTGCCCTTTTGATAGTTCTATTGTTATAGTTGGTTAATGAATGAGTTATTTTTAATTTATTGGTAACTAGTGCCTGTTTCTAATTGGAATCCGATTTCTATCAGGCTTTTGATGAAGCCATTGCAAAGTTGGACACATTGGGAGAGGATTCATACAAGGACAGGACTTTGATAATGCAACTCCTTCGTGATAATCCAACTTTGTGGACCTCAGACATGCAAGTTTAGTACCTTTTACATTTCATTCTTTTTGGTTATGTATCAATGTATTATTTTAACTCATGCATTATTGGACCTATTTATAGGATGATGGAGCAGAGGAGATCAAAGAAGCACCCAAGCACGAAGAGGAGAAGTAGTAAACTAATTCGTTTTCATCATTCTTGCATGATCATGCATTTTCCAAATAGCCGGCTTTGCGAAGCGTGTAAGTCCAGCTTTCAAAATATTTCTGTGCATATCATTTGCATCTTGCCCCTGAACTACGCTGGTTTGATTCCCTGCAAAGGGATCCGTAGGCAGCCTGTGTGCGCAACCATTTGCTTTTTGTCTTGTTTGTTTGTCCAAGTCTTCAGCCTTGTCAAAGTGGGTCGTCTTCGGGTTTTGACATTCACTCACGTCATTGCATGACTTTCGAGTTCTATCAAAGAGGGGCAACTGTAGATATCCAATTTTTGACTGTCTTCAAGACTTGGGCGTCATCGTTTATGCACCCGATGATAATGAATCAGTGTGCTCTTGTTTTAGTGCCCGAAGTCTTCGGCGGAATGTCATCTCTTTGAGCCTTCAAACCCTGTTCTTTCTGTGCCTTGTTTTGGAACAAAACTTGGTTTTCTGCAAACTTTGGTGGCCAGTCGGCCACCAGTCGGCCATTTGAGTGGCCTGCCGGCTAGTGATGGTGGCTGTTGGCCCCGTGCCGGCCATTAGTGTTCTTTTGGTAGATATTTTGGTGACAGCTGTGCCAACTGTTTCCACAACCCACTCCATCTCCATACATGTATATGAATGGATTTAACTCAGCTAAGACTTGTTTT